TCCACCCACTTTCCTTTTGCTGCCTGGAGCCTCTTCTTTATTCCATCCAGTATCACTTTGTTGGACGCCTCTGCTTGCCCATTGCTTTGAGGAAAACTTGGTGTTGAGAAATAGTTCTTGATCTTGAATTTTGCACAAAAGTTTTTGATAAGTTTGCTGTCGAACTGTGTTCCGTTGTCGGCAACTATCGCTCTCGGAATCCCAAATCTTGTGATAATATTTCTCCATATGAAATTCTTGACGTCCACATCTCGGATTTTGGCAAGAGGTTCTGCCTCTATCCATTTTGTGAAGTAGTCTGTTGCTACCAGCAAGTATTTTCTTTGCCCAGTTGCTTGGGGAAGTTGTCCAACCAGATCCATGCCCCATTGGGCAAACGGCCAAGGGCTGGGTACTGGGTTTAGGTCGGCAGCTGGCTGATGTATTAAAGGTGTAAACTTTTGACATTGCTCACACTTCTTAACATAGGCTTCGGCATCCTTTTGCATGTAGGGCCACTAATACCCCTGGGTAATGGCCCTATGGGCTAACGATCTGCCCCCAACATGGCTTCCACAGATTCCTTCATGAATCTCGTAAAGAAAATCTTCAACCTGCAAAGGGTGTACGCACCTTAAAAGTGGTCCAGTGAACGACCTCCTGTAGAGATGACCTTCCGCTGTTAGGCCCCAGCATGGCTTCCACAAATTCCTTCATGAATTTCATATAGGAAGTCTTCAACCTGCAAAGGGTGTACGCACCTTAAAAGGGGTCCAATGAAGGATCTTCTGTAGAGGTGTCCATCTGCTGTCAGACAGAATCTTGCCGATTTCAATCTGACTTTGTGTGCCTCCTTATGATCTTCTAGCAACTTTCCTTCTTTCAGGAATGCAACAATTGCATCCATCCAGCTTGGCCCCATGTCCACACACATTGCTTCCTGCTCTATGCTCTCTGGTTCTATGCTCGGGCCCGACATATAGTCGATCATAATTGTTCTTGTTTTTTCAGTCTGCATTGAACTTGCCAGGTTAGCCAGTCGGCGTGGGTGTTGTCGTCTCGGCTAACTTGGAGTAGTCAACAGTTCTGAAATAGGGCTGCCAATCTGATGACCTCTTTTGCATATGCCAACATCCTTTCGTCGCTGGCAGCAAATTCTCCTGTTGACTGATTAACAATAAGCTGTGAATCACAAAAAACTATTACCTCATCTGCTTCTGCTGCTGTTGCCAGTTTTAGCCCTACAATTAATGCTTCGTATTCCGCTTCATTGTTTGAGGCCTTGAACCCTAAACCGATGGATTGTTCTATTATTTCTCCATCTGGAGATATCAGTAGTACTCCTGCCCCCGCTCCTTGTCGGTTTGAACTTCCATCGACAAACAGTCTGAATGAGTCGCCGATGTAGATGCTGCAGGGTCTGAGTTTTTCCTTCCTTTGCTCTTTTGCCTTAGGCTGGGATTCTCCTTGCTTGCTGGGACAATGCTCATCCTGGCTCAATGGAGCCCAATGTTCGATTGTTTCGGGAGTGAATTCTACCATGAAGTCGGCCAAAACTTGGCCTTTAATTGCTGTTCTCGGCCTGAACTCCAGGTCATACTGACCTAA